ACTCAGGAGGCAGAGGCAGGCAGATCTTTGTGAGTTCAAGGCCAGCCTGGTCTACCTAATGAATTCCAGGTCAGCTGGGGCTACAGGGAGACCCTGTCTCCAAAAAAAAAAAAAAAAAAGAAAAAAGAATCACTGTTTGAATTGTCAGAGTGAAGGAATACATTGTAAATTCCAAGATGCTTTTGAAAACCACATTTTATTTTTCATAGACTGTTAAGGGTCCAATGACCATAAGCTTTAGTTTAAAAGATAATTTAGAAGCATTTACAGGTAAATTCTAAGAGGATTTAAAGTAACCCCATGTTGGTCTGATAGTCCTCTATAAAGTTTGAACAGTTTTGATATTTGACACTTTGTCAGGGTGTGACATTAACACAAATGCTTCAAACTTTAAATGTTAAGTATTGTAATATTCATTTATGTGTAGATCCAGTGACAAATTTTCCCCTTGTAATGAGATAAGATACATTGAATTATGGTAAAGGAGTGTCTTTTTAAAGAGACGTGGCAATAATGTGGTGATATGTACAGCAGAAGAAAAGTTAGTGTGTGATTGAAGTTGGACAGCACTGGCTCATTAATAAACAGAAACTTTTTAGCTTGTAGTACTATAATTTCTCTTATGTTGTTGAATAAAATCCTTTAGTAGTATAGATGCGAATCTTGGCTCTCAGACGCCATGAATGTAGAAAAGGGAAAGAGCCTTTGATGTCTGGCATCAGAATAAATTAAGCAGAAAAAAAAATCTCTTGAATTGTCTGTCTGGCTTATGTTCAGTTAAAAGTAAGAAACTAATGTTAACTGGATTTATTTTTTTTTATTTTTTATTGAGTAGACAAGGACAGAGCAATTTTATATGAGTATTTCCACTCACTGAATTGGCGTACTATGAAATTCTGTCTATGTCAATGACTTTGTCAAGTGATTCTTCCCTTTGGGTTATATGTACTAATACACTATACATACTAATATACCTCTTCGTAACCAATGGGGAAAAAAAAGCTAGGTGTGAAGGCTCATGAGTGTAATCCCAGCACTGGGGAGGCAGAGGCAGGCAGGTCCCTGGGGCTCATCCAGCCTAGCCTAACCTGCTTAGCTAGTTCCAGAGCCGCTTAGTGATCCTGTGCACTTGCTCAGCAAGCCTGATGACTTCAGTTATAGATATATTATACACCCCCCACACATAGTCTATATACACATACACATATATATTATTTCCCCTTAGAGGAGGAAAAAGAAAAATCAAAATATTTAGTAGATGTTTTGAACTTAGTTTCATTTTGAAACATTTGTTGTAGAAATATTAGACTGTCTAGTAATAAATTTTTAAGCTCTAAATATAGACTTAATTTAAGGAGAAAGGATGCATTGAGCATTTCATAAATGATTTAATTACTTCCCATTTAAGAAACAAAATTTTTCAAATCCATCCATACAGACGACGACAGAGAATACAAAGTAGATCGCTCCTCTTTCTCCATCTAATTCTATTCCAGCTCGACTCTCCTGAACCCCTACTGTTGACATTTGAAATCAACTAATTTTAAAAACCATGCTTGATGGCATTTAAGACCTTGGAGGAGCCTTAGTCCAATTGTTTGGAGTCACATCTGTGCTCACTTTCTAAGTCTTGTACAGAGCAACAGTGTGGGTTTGAAACAGTCCTTTCATTTCTGGACTTTTCCATTCCTTGACAGCAAGGCCCAGTGTTGCTTTCCTTCCAGCTTTGATCAGGCTCTCTCTCTTCTTTCCAGCTTTGATCAGACTCTCTCTCTCTCTCTCTCTCTCTCTCTCTCTCTCATCTAAGAAGATCTGGCATAGGGAAGATATATACCATATTTCCTCCTGGAAAAGTGAGATTTTATATTTTAATGGACCACCATTTGGGCATTCATTCAACAATGCACGTTCCTCTCTGGAGGACATTTTCCCACTCTGGCTAATACTTACCTTCAGGTTGTAAAAGGTCAACCTGGAACAGACGCCCCAGGAGGCTTCCTGGAGTTTAGATGGGCTCTGTTGGGTTTCACTTTGCACCTATTAATAATTTAGTGCTGGGATAAAAATAAAAACAAAAGCTCTCATCTTACAGTGTGAGAACATGCCCATGTGTGCTAAGCCCTGCAGGTGAGATGCTGAGCGAAGCCCTGGGGGAGAGCCGGTCTGAAGAGGTATTTCATGACCTGGCGACTTCCTTCTGCAGAACCATTGTCTAAAAATTGAAGGAATTAGTCTAATTGCTCCTTAGATTGGAAATGCATTTTTGCTTTTCAAAGGCGATTGTATAAGCTTTAATTATCTAATCCAAACACAGAAGCTTTCTCCCAGCAGCCCTCCCTGGCAGCTTTCAAACACTGCAGCCTCTTTAAGCTTGAGAAAACACTGCTTTATAACCAACTCTGTTATATAACCTGCCCATTAGGGTACAGTAAAGTTGTGTTGTAACATTGGCTTCTGCCAATAGTCCCTAAAGCTAGGCTTGATTTAAATGGATTTTGTGGTTGAGCTGCAACCAGAGTCACAATTCACTATTTGTAGCATCTGCATCTCCTGTCTCGTGCAGACCCCCCCCCCCTTTTCCTTTAAGATAGGGTCTTCCTGTAGCCCCAGATGATCTGGAACTCACTTTGTAGATGAGGCTGGCCTCAGTCTCATAGCATTCCACCTGTCTCTGCCTCCTGAGTGCTGGGATTAAAGGTGTACACTGCTTGCCTGCCTTAGAGCAGTCCTTTGAAGTCACTTTGGTTGGTGTGTGCTTTAGCAGACCTTAACTTCATTTGCCAAATGAATGAATATAGGGACTTGCTGTTAAAGTTAGATATACTTTTGTGTGCATGTATGCACATGTGTGTGTGTGTGTGTGTGTGTGTGTGTGTGTGTGTGATTACGCCTGCCTCAGTGCTCATGTGGAGGTCAGAGGATAACTTTGTGGAATTGGTTCTCTGCTTTCACCTTTATGGGGCCACATTCTAGAGACTGAACTGAAGTCAGTGCACAGGATCACTAAGCGGCTCAGGAACTAGCTAAATAGGTTAAGCTAGGCTGGACGAGCCATGGGGACCTGCCTGCCTCTGCCTCCCCAGTGCTGATATCATGAGCCGTCATACTTGGCTTTTCTTTTTTTTTTTTTCATAGGTTCTGGGGATGGAAGCAAACACTTTAATATCTGAGCTATCTGTCCAGCTTCTAGATATGTACTTTTTGCCTATTTATGTGTTACTTTTCTTTAGAGAATTCATAAAGAAGTGCTTAGTAGTCTCAAAATCATTAATAAGTAAATACACATGATATATTTCTAGTGGAATAGTTTAGAGTTCAAAGATGCTTTTTAAAAAATATTTTATGTGTATGAGTGTATTACCTGCATGTAATGGAAATGCACCTGTGTTGTGCAAAGCCCACAGAGGTCAGAAGAGGGTGTTGGATTCCCCTGGAACCGGAGTTATGGTTGTTAGCCTCCATGTGGGTGCTGGGAATTGAATTCAGGTCCTTTGCAAGAACAGCCACTGCTCTTAACTGCTGACCCATCCATCTCTCCAGTCCCTCAAAGATGCTTTATATGGAGAGAGGAAAACCCCACTTTAAAATAACTGTGACTATTTGCCGTCTTGTAATTGTAATGCATAGGATTTTCATGTCAGGATATATTAAGGAAATAATGTCATGAAGTCTAGGAAGAGAGCATTTTAGGAATGAATCATCTTGAAACTGGAGATGAAAAGGACTAATGCTTTTAGTCCAGAAGTCAAATACTCAGTTGTGTTTGGAACAGAACTGAATTCACCCTCTTGCCTGCTTTTCATATTCGGACCTCTCGCCTGTCTCACCCTGCTCCCTGCTGCACGCTGGCACCGATCGTGAGTTCTGTCCTACCACAAGCCCCTCATTTCCAGGGAAGCCCTGCCTCCTTACTCTTCTCATGCCTTTCTCTGTCCAGATGTCCAGAATGCCACTCAGGGACCCATCCCTGCCTATTAATTATTGTCTTTGTGTCCCAATAGTGTAAATTCTACTAAGGAGATACTAGCACTCAGTACAGTGACTGGTATATGCTGTCTAGGCAATAGGTTACTAAATGGACATTGCTTACAGTTTTGTTTTGTTTTGTTGGTCTTTTTGAGACAGGGTCTCCCTGTAGCTCCAGCTGCTCTGGAACTCGCTCTGTAGACCAGGCTGGCCTCAAACTCACAGAGGATCCGCCTGCCTCTGCCTCCTGAGTGCTGGGATTAAAGGTGTGTGCCACCACGCCCAGCTGCTTACTTTTGTTAGTTTAAGATTAGTTTATCATGCATCTCTAGTATCAACAGGCAGCCACTGTGTTTTCCAGTGCTCTTACCTTCCCTTCTTATAAATTTCATTCTGATTTCACTGGACCATTAGAGAACCACACCAGCTCTTTGGAGAACACAGCAGTGAATTGACACCCAGGGGTACTTTGCTCACTGGGAGGTCTGAATGTCTTACTATGTATTGAGTTAATTCTTGGCCATCAGTATGAAGCAGGAGGCTGCTGCTGGTCTTCAGTGAGAAGACCAATGAGAGATATGACTGCAGCTGCCATTGTGTCTGTTCTGTGGGCTCGACCTGCCCCCATCTCTAAGCTCTTACAGATCTGTAAGCCCAAGGATGCCGCACAGCTTCAGCCTGAAAAAGGAAATATTGGCAGATGGCTAGAGAGCCACAGGCCCAGTATGGAGGTGCATGCCTGCAATCTTAGCCCTCAGGATGCAGAGGCCAGAGGCTCTCTGTAGTGAATTCCAGGCCACCTGTGGCTACATAATGAGATCCTATTTCTGGCACAAACTCAACCCAACGAACCAAAAGGAAAGACCAACCAGAAAGCAAAACAGCCAAAATCAAACCTCAAAACAGAAGTCACAGTATCACCTTGCCAGTTGTGACTCCAAGTGGAAGAAATGAAATGCAAATTTGGTGAGTAGTTATGTTGGTGTGTGTCATTCCTCAGTGGTGTTCTAAATGTTACTGTTTATCTGTCGTAGGTCATCTATTTAAAGAAGACACCAGAAGAAGCCTACAGAGCACTCCTGTCTGGCTCAAATCCCCCTTATCTTCCATTCAGGTATACCTGCTGCATAGACTTGGGCTAGGCTTAGTTTGACACTCCTTACAGTTGGGTTGAGGTGGTTTGTAGTTATCCTAACATGGTGACTGTGATATTCCTCTTCCGATCACAGGGTAGTTTTTATTAGTTTTATAGACTCCTTCCCCCAACCAGTAATATCCCCCAACCAGTAAGACTAGAATAGCTTTCTTTTTTAAATTTTTTTTGACTTATTTATTATTTTGGATTTATTTTTATTTTATGTGTATGAGTGTTATGCCTGCTTGTATGTGAGTGCACCCATGTCATGAGTTGCCTGCAGAGACCAGAAGAGGGTGTTGGATGCCTTGGAACTTGAGTTACAGACAGTTGTTAGCCACCATGTGAGTGTTGGGAATTGAACCAGGATCTTCTGCAAGAGCAGTTAGCACTCCGAACTGCAGAGCCATTTCTCCAGTCCATGGCTTTCTCTTTTTAGGAAAAATTTTCTCCCTTAAATATTTTCTGTTCTTTGACAATTCATGTAAAATGCAGAGTGCCTGATGTATGAGCTAATTAGATTTCGGTAATCTACATCCTGGATTCGTTCAGGCATTCTTTCAGTCTGTGAAGACTGATTGAGCTCTGAATGCCTGGCAGGGCTGAAGACAGAGGATAAGACCCTCTATGTACCAGGACCACTGGTTTAATGTGGACCCTAAAATCCTTTGTTGAGCACACACGTCTTCAGGAAGATTGGCTTTCACTGCAGTATTGGAGAAGAATGTTATGCTGGTTTGTTGGGAGATGGAGAGTTTTGTCCTTATTGTCCCATGGCTGTGGGATGTTTAAGAATGCATGTCACTGGCCTCGTACAGGCAGACATGTAAGCCATTTCCTACCCTTTTAACAGTGGCTTTTTTTCTTCTTCCACGTCTCCCCATTCACAATACAGTCCAGACATCATGGCCTGCCTGGGCTAGGTGTATGCACATGGGCAGGTTTACTCATGGGCAGGTTTACTCTGCCTCTCTTTCTTTCTTTCTTTCTTTCTTTCTTTCTTTCTTTCTTTCTTTCTTTCTTTCTTTCTTAGTGTGGTTTCATTTTGTTTTGTTTTGCTTTACAGTTTCTTTTTTAAAAAAAATAATTTATTGAGAATTTCATACATGCATATAAGGTGTTTTGATCAAATCCATGCCCATTTCCTCCCCTTTTTTGACTCCTCACATATTGCCTCATCACTATTTTCTGATAACTTCATGTACTCTTTCTTCTTCTTTTTTTTTTTAATGAGGCTTTTTGCTACTCTAACATTCCCACTTCTGAAAAGGTAACCCTAAAATCTTTTAAGGATTAGATAAGAGCTCCCAAACACTCTTGACTTTTTGGCCTTTGGAACAGAGAATGTTGCTAAGAAGCCCAAGGACATTTTGACTTTTAGCCAAGAAACTGGTTACTTTTCTTTGGGGTCTTTTTACCCTAACTGCCTAGCCAATTCTTACCTTCTATTCTTATCACACCATCCTCTGAAGGGGTTACCCAAATTGCTGACAGGGAATTGGGATGCAGACCGTTCTGGCTTCTTCCGTGCTGAACAGGAGGGACGCAGGGTGAGGCAACTGGGGTACCCCTTTAGTGGGCCTGTCTAAAAGACTCCCAAATTACATAACTCTTATCTGTAGGGGGAAAAGAAAGTCCTTGACTGGTGAATAGGAGATATGAAGGAGTAATGGCAAGAGTAATTAGCATTACAAGTTCTAGACAGGGAACTACAAAAAGTCAGAAGAGGGCAAATTTGAAATATTCATGAGTCCATTGGAATTTCTTGATGAGCGCTTCCAAAAGCATCCCTCTATTGGGTTCCTCTCATTTTTTCTTTTGTCTGCCAAGGATGGACTTGAGAGTGATGGACTTAGGATTTGCTTTCAGGCACTTTGATAGCACCATGTGGAGGCAGGATCCGGGTGCTCTCAGGCAGTCCCCTGTGCCAGAGGGCTCTGCCTCCTCTTTCTAAAGTCAATGTAAGAACACTGTGGTAAACACCAGGAGGCATAACTGAGGCCTTTTAATTCACATCATCTCAGATGTATTTTAAGAAGCTGAAAATACACTGAGAATATTATTGCGTTGTTGCCAGGTGTCAGAAATTTTAATAATCTGTTGGAAGATACTCAATTATATGAAAAAGAACACTTAGCAGAGGCATTTGCTCTTTGGTTTAGGCTTTTGTACCCTACTATAACTTCGACCTTAAATATAACTCAAAGTTGTGTTTTTCCATGTTTACACTGAATTGTATCTCTAAGTCCAGCCTCTTTATACAGCATGTGTTTGAAGCAGAAAGCCCACAAAGTGGGTGCATTTGGAATATTGTGAAGTGTAGATGAAAGGATACTATTGGATTTCTGGATTTGGACTAAAGATTCCCCCCGCCCCCACCATGTTAAAATGTGAGTTGTTTCTAGTTTATAGACTGAGTGAGGTCAAGGAGGATTAGCACTAATCATTTTCACAACAATCCTGAGGACACACTGCCGCCTTCGCCTTCAGTGCAATCTAGATTGTGTGGCTCCTGAGGCCTCTTAGCCTGTTTGTTGTTAAGTTGCACTTTTATCTTCATTATTTGGGTTTTTTTCAACTGTTGCTATGTTAACACTAACCCATTTAAATGGATTTTTTAAATTGTTTAACTTTTTTACCTTTTAAGTATTTTATTTATTTATTTTTAACTTTTTTTGTGTATGAGTGTTTAGCCTGCATGTATGTATATGCACACATGTGTGCCTGGTGTCTTTGGAGGCATGAAGGCATTGGATCCCCTGGAGCTGGAGCTATGTATACTTTTGAATGCTGTGTGGGTGCTGGGAACCCAGCCTGGGTCCTCTGCAAGAGTAGCAAGTGCCCTTAACTGCTGAGCCATCTCTTCAACCCCTAAACTTTTTTAAAAGACTGTTTTGATGGCTTATTGAAGTGGTGTTGTCACGTTCTTCTCTGAAATGTCTGTGCTCCCATATGAGCTATATATTTTAGTGTGTTCGTAATAAAGGCATTTTATGGCCACTGTGAATTTAAAGAATACAATTATTCAAGATTTATTTATTTAGTAAGCATTTATCTGAGCAGGCACTTCTCTGAAGCCTTGTTTTTCTGCAGAAGCTTGGCAAGAGTTCAACCTGTAATTCTTTATTACATTTTATATATTACATTGCTACATACATGATTAAAGCAAATGTCTTGTAATTATTTGTTTGCATGGATGACTTTTCTCTTGAGAGTGGAAATTGGCTTGTTTTCCTGTTTGTGTCCCAAGAGAAAAAATATATTGATTTATCGCTTTTTTTCCACACCAGTCACTGGGGTAGTCTTGGGGATGTAAGGATATATTGATACCAACTACAGGGGAAACTCAGCATATAGCTGTGTAAATGAATAGGTGTGGGAAACAGTTACAGTGCTTTGTTAGAGTTAGTGTGGGGGTACCGAAGACAGAGCATTGACTTTGGAACTGTGGGGTGGAGGGATTCTAGGGAAGGTCTCATAGAATGCCTTTCATGTTAGGATGAAAACTGGAGCATATCCAGGGATTGATTTTTAGATACTTTTCAATCATATGGTACAGGTTTAAAAAAAATAATGGTGTATTAGGTAGAGCACTAAATAATGTGATGTTTGCAGTATTAGTATCAGTACATTACTAAAATAAAAGAGTTGATCAGCTTTTCTTCCCCCCATTTGGAGTATTTTTTAATTTTGATTTTTTTGGTCTTTTTTCTGTGTGTGTCTTTTTAAAAAAATATTTAATAACCACATAAGAAGAAGAAGCATTTCATAACAACAGCATTGACATATTCAATAACAATTTCCAGAGCTAAGATGCATCTCTTTCAAAATTGGCTGTAAATTTTTTGATTTACAGTTGAATTAATACAGTTATACAATATTGTACTCCGCATAAAGCTGATAAGCCATAAAATTAAATGAGGTTTTAACCTTTAAAAAAGATCTCCTTTTCATTATTAAAATATACAGTTTCATACAGAAAAGTTCATTTTTAATGCAATTGATACTAAGATGTTTGCACATGTGTTTCTATTCTCTATATATCTGATTATTACTAGTGACAGTCAGTTACTTTCTGAGCTCCTTGACATCTGAGCATGGATATAAAGTCATCAGGTAGATTTCAATGGTAATGTTTTTCACATCTACTAATTATTAAGGAGCAAATTTTATGCTTTGAAGACATTTTTTTATTTTTTATTTATTTATTTATTTATTTGGTCTTTTTGAGACAGGGTCTCCCTGTAGCCCCAGCTGTCCTGGAGCTCACTATGTAGACCAGGCTGGCCTTGAACTCACAGAGGTCCACCTGCCTCTGCCTCCCAAGGGCTGGGATTAATGGTGTGCATTACCATAGACCACATGATTAGAAGAAGCATTTCATTACAGCTTTAACATATTCAATAACACACTCCAGAGCAAGGATACATCTCTTTCAAAAGTGGCTGTAAATTTTTAGGTTCACAGTTGAATTAATACAGTTATACAATATTGAACTCAGTATAAATCCTATAAGACATAAAATT